CACTCGACCAAATATACCCACCTTCTTAACGAAGCCGATTAGTTTGTATGGTGAGTGGTCTTTTAGGTTAGATGGTAAGAATATGCTCTGCCGAACTCTAAAAACTAATTCGGTCTCCAGCGGGACAGGCACAAAGTATGTGCTCTGCTGTATCATCATTTTCCAAACAGAGGCGACAGTCTGTCTTCCGACAGTTCGACTTTCTGCATATGATGATTCAAATGATAGTGACCTGTAAGAAGGACTGTTAGACATCATAGTTTGTCCCTACTGTAGTCCAACAACTGTTTGGTAACAAGCTTCAAAGGGTAAATGAACGCCTTGTAGTGAGCCAATCCTGGAAGATTTTGCCAGAAGTTCATAAATCTTCTTGCCATCCAGGCATGCCAATGAGAGGTTCTGGTTCAATGAAGCTGCCTGCAGCACTCTCCTTTACAAGGGAGTCAGCAGCCTCATTGCCTTCTAGGCCAGTATGACCAGGAATCCAGACCAGAGACAATCTGTTAAGTTTTCCTATCGAGGAGTTTCGTTTTCAGCAATTTGCTACCAATTTAGACGTTGCTCGGTAGGAGCCAAGAGCTTTCAACGCCGTTAACGCAAATACATACAGGTGAGAATGTTGTAATTTTTGAAGACTGTACAGGGGAAGGATTCTTAGGTAAACCAAAAAAAATATTTTGATATAGAATCTCGAAATATCCATCTCTCTCAACTAACTACCTACACCGTAGGTTTACTTCTTTCTATATGGTGATAAAGGTACGCGTAAAAATTGTATCTCATATATTTTCAACATCAGCCATGAATTGGTCAATTAGCAATCATTTTCAAAATGCTAGAAAAGGGTGAGGTTATTTGAGCAACGTTTGCATTGTTTTTCAAATAATGAAACACCATATAAACCAAATGAAACTGTCCACTTCCCCAAGTTTAAAGCAAAGTATGGCTTAAAAATATCACAAAATTTTCATGTAGAACGTTCATTTATCACAAAAAATTGGACTAATGTTTGAGGAATTTAAAATATTTAAATTTCATTGTTGAAATTTTGTAATGATTACTGATTAAAAAATTTCAGACACCTACTGGAAAGCCCGAAGCAAAGCCAAAAAGGCTGAAGAAACGAGGAACAGAACAGCCTAGTAAAAGAATGAGGAAACAAAAACAGTTATCATCTTCAGATTCTGAAACTGAGAATTATTTAGTTATTATAAAATCACCACCTCCTCTCAAAAAGAATGCTCCTAAAAATGGTGAGTGAAATTGTAATCAATTTCATTCCACAATAATAATTTACAGTTAATTCTAGCTTTTGTGTCACTTCTCTGAATTACGCAGAGCCAGTTCCCAAAGAAGCACATCTCCCAAACATATAAAGAAAAGGTAACTCAGAGTAATCAATTTTTAGGAACTGTTTTTTTAAGCTGTATACTACAAACTATTGTTTCAACTTCGACTTTGAAGACTTCTTGGAAAATTCTGAAAATCTTAAAGATGTGTTATGCTAGAGAACATATAATTGTTCATATTCACTAATTTGATCAATAGTAGTAGCGATAAAATGAAAATTCTGTTGATACCTGAGAGGACTGAAACCATCCTGGAGACTCGCTTGGACTGAAGTGCGAGCAGCGGAAGGGTGGTAATGTTCGAGCCCAAGATACACGATGAGAAAATTGGACGAGGAATCGCATTGGGGAAGACCCTGTTGCGTGTTGACATAGTTGTGTCGGGCAGGGTCATGAATTTCAACTACTTTTCCGTGACCTTGAAGAAAGGAACAATGCTGGGGTACTGTTCGTCTATTTCCTCTGTGATACGGAGTGTACGCAGTTCGGTTAGCCAAGCCAACGACTTTCCTAAAGAGTTGGAGAAGTTGATTGACATTTCTTCCAAGGACAAACCAGCAAGTACCAGGAAATCTTCGATATTCGAGAAGGAAAAGGCAGCAGAACGAATGTGGTTCATCATAGAATCGACACTGGGAATGCCTCTTGCCTAGAAAGTAGAGGCAGACAAGATAGTCAGCGATATGGGAAAAAAAGAGTAATTGAACCTTCTGACAGACCCAACTTAATAACGTGACGAAGAAAGATAGCAACCCTCTTCCAAAAAACGATGACACGCTAGCCGGCTCCACAATTTCCTCGACTTTGGATTTGAATAGTGGATATGGGCAAGTTGAATTGGCCCCAGAAGATCGAGAAAAGACAGCTCTCACCATCGGCTCAGGATTGTGGCAGTTCACGGTTATGCCATTCGGGTTTTGTAATGCTCCAGCGACCGTCAAGAGATTGATGGAGACGGTTCTCAAGGGGCTCTCATGGAAGACGTGTCTAGTGTATCTCGTCGATCTAATCGTGGTCGGAAAATCGTTCGACGATCACTTGAAAAATCTGGAGGAGGTATTCGTGCGTCTGAGATATTCTGGATTGAAACTCAGTCCCAAGAAATGCCATCTGTTCTAGAAAGAAATTCGTTACCTTGGCCATGTTGTCTCTGGGGAAGGAGTGGCAGTAGATGAACGAAATATCAAAGCAGTTGAGGATTGACCCATTCCAAAAGAAGTACATTAGCTTCGGAGCTTCCATGGTTTGTGCACCTACTACCGCAGATATGTGCTGGGGTTTGCCAACATCGCCAAACCATTGACCCGAGTTACAGAAGGACAGATCCAGTTCCACTGGTCCGAGAAATTCCAAGACGCATTCGAGAAGTTGAAAAGAGCTTTGATCAACGCTCCAGTTTTGAGCTATCCCCTACCGCAGAGAAAATTCATTTTAGATGCGGACGCCAGCAACGTAGGACTTGAAGCAGTCCTTTCTCAGATCCAGGAGAGACAAGAAGTTATTGGCTACTTCAGCAAAACGCTCAGTAAACCAGAGCGAAATTATTGTGTCACAAGGCGAGAGCTGTTGGCCGTTGTTAAAGGTGTAGAGCATTTCTACAAATACGCTTCAATGCGCCAGTATAACGTGGGTAGTCCTTTTGAGAGAATCGCCATCGACATCGCTGGCCCGTTCCTATAGTCCGACCATGGTAACAAATACATCCTGGTAACCATGGACTACTTCAGTTAGTGGGCAGAAGCCTATGCCCCACCCAACCAGGAAGCCTTTATCGTCGCTAACGTCCTGGTAAAGGAATGGATATGTCGATTCAGTGTCCCATTGGAGCTGCATTAGGACCAAGGTAGTAATTTCGAGTCCAATCTATTCCAAGAAATGTGTAAACTGTTGGACATTCGAAAGACCAGAACCACAGCCTTACGTACACAGTCCGATGGATTGGTGGAACAAATTAATGATACCATAAACTGCCACTTGTCCAAGGTAGTCTCTAACCACCAAAGAGACTGGGACTAGTACCTACACCTGTTCCAATATATTTTCCCATTATGGAATAGATACACATATTTTAATTTTGTTATTATTTGTGTTTTCAATAATATAATTATTATCTGTGGTTGTGTTTTAGTATTTTCATATTTTAGATGTTCATATTTACATTCATATATTTGTCAGTAATGAAAGCAATTGAAAATGTATTATCTATACACAAATAACTTTTTGATCAACTGTATTTTAATAACTGAACTTCTATAACAATATACTTGAAAAAAGCTTCTCAAATCCATTTATTAACACTTCATTGTAGGACTTTCACCATACATTTTATAAAACCGTAACACATGTTTCAATATAATTTTTCTTCAGGAATGTTCATTACAAATTTTTGTTCAAACAGCTGAAGAAGCTATCGTATAGTAAAACACATATTTCGGTTTTGTATACTGTTTTGTGAAAATCTCACAAAGTGTTACCTAAAAAAATGGATTTTAACGAAATCATAACTCTTCAATTCTGGTATCGCCTGGACTCCATGGACGTACCATGTACGTTCAAAATACACACCAATTTTGTCCAATTCAGGTACAATAGTAATCTAAAATGGACATACGTAAAACATACATTTTTGTGAAAACAGGCTGTCCTAAAGGCGTCCTAGGGACGTATATTGGATACAATCGGGACATCCTTGGTACGTATATTACATTTGACATGTACATACAGTAAACATTTAAAATACGTACTTCTGTGTTATGTGGGTCATCATTTCATTGAAACCGTGTACCAGAAATTCTCACTCATAATGGAAAATATTTCCGTATTTTTTAAATTAATTAACAATGCGTTTCCTTCAATCTCATTATTTTTGAAGGGTCGTCGGCCGCCAGAAGAACTCTCCTACGCTTGAATTTTGAACTAGCTATTACTAAGATGCTCTTTCATTCTATGCTAGTTAGCCTCAAGCCTGTGTTTGGCCCATGTCTTAAAAATATATACTCTGTGGGAGGGTCGAAAGCAGAATATTTCTGAAGTACAATCGCTGTCAATTATCTTGTCCTTGTACCTAATTTTTATTACCCCGAATCTACTAGATTCCATCAACCTCAAAGTTTTTCTTTAGTTCAATATTGCCTTCTGAAATTCTACTAGATTCTTCTCGCCTCAAAATTTTTCATTCGTTTCATATTACCTTCTCAAAAATACTTACAGTCCAATTTCGTACATGAATTCACTCCTGCAGAATTCATGAAAATAATATTGAATGCATTCAGCTGTGGATATCGATTGAAATTATATTGAGACTTATATATAACTTTCGCCCTAACAGTTAGCACTCATACCACTGATGAAGTATCCTGCAGTATCAGAACATTTGGTACTTTAAGATTATATTCGATCACGGCACAAATGATAATTTCTTTTCTCTGTGACCTCAGACTACTAACCCGGATCTGCGACTGCGGCAGACCAAATGTCAAGCCCAAAAACTTGCAGACCACGACTAATAAACCTAAAAATATGTTGGAACAGAGCGTGAAAGCCTACACACCGTGATCAATTAGTTCATTTTTGTTTCGCGCTTTTCGATCGGATTTTTAACATCTACCTTATGCAAAATAAGTTTATTTCGTTGGCAACATTGCTGAGAAATGTCAAAAACCAGCCGGCAACTGTTTACGTGTTTGATTTTACCAGTTTGAGTTATTATTTAGAATGTTGTCATAAAACTAGATACTTTCGAAATATTTATGAATGAATATTCATATAATACAGAATATATGAAGTTCTAAACTCTTCACTTTCGTGAAAAATTCCTTTGAGGTGGGTAAAATTTAACAATAAAATAAAACTCCAATTTCTGATCAGGATTTTTTCAATTTTATAGGTTTTCTTAATGCAAATGAGTAAAAAATTTGTCTTAAGATAAAAATGGTAGCCACTATTCACTTCGGACGTAGGTCTAGAATTTTAAGATTATGCATATTTTCTATTATCCTATTAGTCATGATATATTTACTAATGTCATATGAGAAAGCGCCTAGGCATGAAGGTGGGATGTCTGCTGAAGCCTTACTAAGTAGAAAAAAACCAAAGTTAGTTAAAGGTCTTGGAAATTTCGAACCAAGGGAGGTTCCAGACCAAGAAGGTCCCGGCGAAAAAGGCCAAGCACATCTTCTAAGACAAGACCAGCAAAACGATGCTGATCAATCTGAATCTGAATACGGAATGAATGTAGTATGTTCAGATGAAATATCTCTTGATCGTACAATTGTAGATACCCGGTTGAAAGAATGTAAACATTGGGATTACCCAGAAGATTTGCCCACAACCAGTGTGATTATTGTTTTCCACAACGAAGGATGGTCTGTTTTAATGAGAACAGTCCATTCAGTTTTGAATAGATCGCCCAAACATTTACTGAAAGAAATTCTTCTGGTGGATGATTTTAGTGATAAAGAAAATCTAAAGATGAAATTGGAAAATTATATTGAACAGTTTCACGGAAAAGTGAGACTTATTAGGAATGTACAGAGGGAAGGATTGATAAGAACGAGGTCTAGAGGAGCTCAGGAGGCTACTGGAGAAGTTATAGTGTTTTTGGGTAAGTACTTAACAATATGTTTACCTTTGTATATAGGCGATTTTCAAAATAATTGGAATAATTTTCTTAAAAAATATTTTTTGGGAAGTACTTCAATTTCTTAAACAATAAATATGGGAAAACAGTGATTCCAACAACTAAAAAAAAGATGAAAAGATTTACATCCTGACATTTACGTCACTCATACACTTGTTGTCAGTTATAACATCATGATATTTTACGTGTGGCTCATTTCCATGTGAAAATTTTGGAATTTGATTTGTTACATGGTGCTATGGAGCAGTGGCCAAGACCTGTGATCCGCAGGTGAAATATTTGAAAAAGTGACATCAAGCCCAATCCATATCATCATTTCTATGTTTCTTGCAAATACAGCAAAAGTTATAAAATTTCAAAAATTCCAACCTCGTGATTTTATTAATACACAAATATGAATACTTCTATAGAATAGTTATTTACATCAAAAGAGAACAAAAAGTGTAAAATGTACATACTCCAGAAATGAAGACTTGAAATTAAATATTCAATAAACATTAATATTTGTTTATATAGTTAGTAGAATAAACTAACTGAATTTGCTTTTGTTTTCTTAGTCATTTGATTGGTAGTTTTTACTTGAACATAATTCTCAAAAACTCCATTTATATCCGTGAAAACGTTTAGCCAAATTTATATTCACTATATAGAGTGAAGAACAATATACCAATTGGTATTACCAAGAGATAATTGTTTGGGAGCCATCTTGAGGGTGGTTTACAACTAAACTTTTTTAAAATTATTTTAGAGCCAGATTCATATATAGTTCAGACACTATTATATCTCTCCTGTATTATAATTATCTCATGGCCTATAAAGTGACATGGATGTCAAGAGAAAGTCAAGATGAAGAAATTTTCAAAAATTCTGTTTGTATCTAGTTTTAAGCTAGATTCATAATCAGTATAGAGTGTATATCAAAAAACCTTATGTTCATAGATGATTCATTTGGGAGCCGTTCAAGGGTTGGTTTATACTTGAACTAAATTTTCTAAAATTCCTTTTATATCTGGGTGATATCTGATTTCCATTGTTACTAGTAATATTCCATTCTTAATAACAATTAAAATATTTACAATTACTTTATTTTCTGAAGCCAGATACATATTCGTGGTAAATATCTACATCTACACAAATATTGAAGTTCAATAATGATTCCATATAATATGAATTTACTTCAAGCCATGGGTGACAAAAATACAATTCTTTATTATTGCTATCAGAAACAAGGGAGTGGTTGAGCTGGGACTTTGGAAGAATATGTTCAGTTGCTAACAAGATATGATATAAATAAAATTGCTTATTTTATTGGACGTGCAAGAGTCTGGGATTCTTGGAGATTATCTTCAGAACAAAATTTAAACTGTTATTGTATCCTAAGAGGGATGGATATACTTGATTTAATTCGTATACCACATACTTCTATAAAAATATTTGAAATCATTCTGAAGAAGTTGTAGACGAACCAAACTCCAATCTGGATTTAACATCAGCCTTTTGTGAATAATAAGTAAGAGAGTAATGAAAAATGAATAATTTTGTTTTTATTTGTAGGCAGAAGGACTAGAATCAATAGCATTTTGAATTGTATATAAAGTATACCTACACTATACTGTCTGTCTCTCTCTTCTTCATGAAAGGGAAGGTTAGAATGACACCAACTTACAATAATCACATAAATTTCAAATTGAAATGTTGAATCAGTAATTCCATCACTTATGTCAACTCATATGGGTTCAAATACTTGCTTTCATAAATAAATATGTTTTATGTGCTTTCACTTTCTTTAAAGGTTCACTATCTATTTTCTTTGACGTGTTCTGCAAATAATAGCACATCGACAGAGTGATGTGTATTTGTGAGAGTTCTACTTTTTTCCGATTTTTTTGAAACCACTGAAAGTCTTAAATTTTGAACAAAATAACAGGTATTGATTGGATGTCTGAAATAGGTTATTCTTTACATTCGTTAGTTATCATTTCCCTAAAATCAAAAATATTAAGGACAAATTATCAAATTGTTCCAGAAATGTTACTGTGTTTCAATAAAATCTGGAAAGGGGATTTTTCCAACTTGTCATTTCTTATAATAAATTTATCATATGCATTTCAAAATAAAAAATGTGAATTTCAAATAAAAATATACTTCTTTCTGATAATATTTTGGGAACTACAACTAAAATTGTATAATGTCAATTCAATTTTTACAACAGTTTTTGCATACACACACTATATGTTTAAGAATTTTGATAGGTGGACATTTTTTTCAGTTCAGCTTCTTCTCTCAGGAGAGATAGCCATGTTCAATACCAATTAGTACAAGTCAATTCTTTTTTTTTGTTTCGCTAGATTTTGTCACCAAAAGTTATATCTTTGTCTCAATGTATCACCAAACCACCATCTCTTGTCAAAATATGTTCTGTTTCTGTCTGTTTTTCCGTAAACCAGCTGTCGCCCCTATGAATGACAACTCTCAAAAGTCAAAACTTGTGCGTGCTAAGAACTAACGAGGTCTTTCCTTTTAACGTGTGATTCCTAACACGGAATTACACGATTTTGAGTATCCCAAAGCTTGGTTTAAAATGAGGTATCTTCAGAAAATAGAAGGAATTTTCAATTTCACGGATTTGGAGAATCCAATTGTCATTTTTTTTATTATCTTCGAGTATATGAACCTGAAGTATGATAAAATTTTTAGCTGTATTTATTGTTTACTTTGTCATGGCAGCTGTTACAAATAGACGTGTTCATAAAAGCTCGGCGATTTTTATTTGTTAAAACAAATGGTTGACCACAAACACAGTATATGGTCACAAACATAAACTTGTTTTTTACTTTTGCTTTTATTTTTTTGAATTGCCATATTTATTAAATGTTAGAAATAATCATTTTCTCCATAACATTTTAATTTTTTTTTCAAAATTTTGTGTTATGGATGAAATCAGTTAAGCTCTATTCATAAAAGTGAATACATTGTATGAAATGACACTCAAAAAAGATGTCATTCATAAGGAATCTTTTGGAAAATTCCATGTTGATATCTGTTCCATATAGATGTTTCAATGTTGCATTGAGGGAATAAAAATGTTTTGATTTTCCCCTGTTTGGAATATACTATAGATTGTAATATTCTTGCCAAATCTATCTATACTATACTAATATAAAAGTGCAATGTTTCATGGTGCATTTCAACAACAGATTTTAAACAGACAGAGAAAACAGATTTCATTAGTTCGGATTTCCATTGTCTATTGCAATGGCGAAGTTTAGACCTTTCCTCAACAATGATTCCTCTATGTCCGTGAGCGGGCGGGAACTCATGTTGATTGCGCTGGCGGCTTCATACTGGTCCTGTTTTCGGTCTGCATTTGGGCATTGTTGGTGTTGGGGAACAGATTTTAAACAGACAGAGAAAACAGATTTCATTAGTTCGGATTTCCATTGTCTATTGCAATGGCGAAGTTTAGACCTTTCCTCAACAAGGATTCCTCTATGTCCGTGAGCGGGCGGGAACTCATGTTGATGGGTTGGGGCTTCAACTGGCCTTTTGGTCTGCATTTGGGCATTGGTGTTGGGGAAAGTTGGTGCACTAACATCTGTGCTCACTTTGGAAATAAGAACTGCAGTGTAATCTACCAGTTCCCTTATTGATCAGATCGAGGCAGAAGAATTCAGATGAAAAATCAGAGAACAGCTAGATCGAGAACCAGTTCCAATATCTAACATCAGCAATGAAGAACGAAGAGATCTGAATGGGCTACGTACAGACAACACCATCAAGATCTTACCTGCAGATAAGGGAAATGCTACTGTTGTGATGAATACTGATCTCTACGGACAGAAGATCGAAGAGGTGCTTCAAAAAGGAAAAATACACGAAGATCGTAAGGGACCCAACTGCATCAATTGAAAGGAAATTGTATCAGACGTTGAAAAAACACCAAGTCTATTTTTCGGAAAAAGAGAGATCATCGCTAACACCGCACCACAGTAATCCCCCTCACTTGTATGGACTACCCAAAATCCACAAGGAGGATATTCGGCTTAGAACAATTATTTTAGCTCCAGAGATTCAGCCACTCAGAACTTGTCCAGATTTTTACTACCAATATTTAAACCACTGCAAGGAAAAACATAATCACATAATATTTTTTTTAATTTTCATCTCGTGTTAATAGTTAATTTTTTTTATTATTTTCGGTTGTTGCTTGTATTTTATTTTATTGTAATTTTCATTTTTTGGCTTAATATAATTGTTATTTTTCAGCTAACCTTTTTATTTTTTTACAGATTCTTTCAGGGATTTCAAATCAATTTATATCATATTAGACAATGGGAGTCCGATTTAATGAAATGCATAAAAGTGAAAGTTTGTGAGGCTGTATTTATGTATATTTGTGGCTCTTTCATGCCTAAATGACTGAATGAATTTAGATGAAACTTTACATAAATACAGCTAATACATCAGAATAACATATAGGCTACAATTTAAAAAGGTTCTTATGTGGTAGCCACTACATGCAAAATACTGAGCCATAAATACAATTAAATTGGATACTTTTTTTACAATGCACATTTTAGAGTATCTGTCAAATTCTCATAAAAATTGATACAATTGTTGTTTTAAGTATTAATATAGATAAACTTTGTTTTTTACACTAAGTAATTTGGAGGAATCGTTCAAAAGTTATCACCATAACATTAACTTGACGCAACGCAGCAAGTCATTACACGTCGCGTCTACGGTAAGACGACGGCGAATGATGCGGGGGGGTAGAGGGGCGGTCTAAGTAATGAAACGCCATCATCGAGAACGCGACCTGAACGTGGACAGACGTCGTTAACGGTTGTGTTAGTTTTACAAATTTCTTTAAAAGTAACATAATTCGATTCTCGAAACTATTTATTACTTAGTGAAGTTGGCATATTTTTTTAGTTACTGTATTTTTAAAGTAACAACTAGTTTCAATAATACAGGGTGTAACTGAATAAGTGTAAACCATTTAAGGAGGTGATTCCTCATCGAAAAAATAATTGGATCTTTCATAAAAAGAAACTTCATTGGAGCATCCCTTGTTAAGATACATCCCCTTAAAGGGGGTACATAAAATTTGTATAACAATTTTTTTCACAAGCACTAAAAAAG